CCCCACAACCCCATTACCTTTCTTCCTCTAAATCCCCTATGCTCTTTCGTCTCCACCACCCCTGAGACACAATACACATGAATCCGTACACAGTCACACACACACATTTGTACATAGGAAAAGGTACACACACACACACACACACACACACACACACACACACACACACACACACACACACACACACACACACACACACACACACACACACACACACACACACACACACACACACACACACACACACACACACACACACACACACACACACACACACACACACACACACACACACACACACACACACACACACACACACCACACACACACACACACACACACACACACACACACACACACACACACACACACACACACACACACACACACACACACACACACACACACACACACACACACACACACACACACACACACACACACACACACACACACACACACACACACACACAGTTTGTGTTGGGGGTTATCAGTATGACACAGGGCACTGTGATTATGTATTTCCTGTGCTTCAGTCAGAGGGAGGAGATAAGGGTCCAGCAGACTACAGCAAAGCCAGTCACCAATCATCCAAGGTGGGGAGGGGCTGGTGGAGTGGAAGGTGTGAAGGTGACAGTGGGTGAAGACCTGCATCTTAACCTTTTGTATTTCACAACTTCAAAACCGCTTTCCTAACCTAAGGTCGTGGACATTTTGAAGTTAAAATGGGAAAATAAATACTTTTCTTAAATGTTGCTCTTGTTTTTCCTATTTCTTAAGAGGTTGTAGGCTAAATCTGAACCTCAATGCTGCAAGTATATGCTACGACACTAAACCACGGGAATGGATAGAACATATGATTCTGGTTGAGAAATTACATAGCTTCCCTGTCCCTTTCCCAGACTGTTTTATTTGCTCATAAACACACGGAGAGAATGAGGTATTGCCCACGGTCCAAAACCTGTCAAATTTAGTGTGCATTTATTGAAGGTCCCAGCTTTTTCGTCTGGAGAAGAAACAAGGAAAACACTGAAGCGGCACGGCTGAATTAATCTACAAGAGCCAAAATTAAGACCAGAAACATCCAAGATCTGCACATCATAGTGACAACACATAGCTATTAAAGTCTCCAAATATATCTCTTTTCATCTCTGACACATTCTTCAACAGTCTGTTCATTTGTTATGTCTTTGGCCCGCTCTCCCTCTCTCCCGGGGGTGGGAACTTCCACACATACAAAAAAGGCATTTTGAGGCCCACAGTGTCTTAGGGCAATGATAGGCTGATGTATGAGGAGGGGCATTGTGGGCAGAAATGACAAGCAAAGGGAAGCCATCAGTGGGACATCTAAGGGTCGAGGAATGAAGGCTCTCTGGCACCCAGAGCTGCTCTCAAACACTGACTCTCTGATACAGCCGACCTTGGACTTAATCACTACCAGAAGAAAAGAGCGGCGCTTGACAGGAAGATGGAGGGACGGTGCGAGAGTGTGTGTGAGAGTAAAGAAGAAGAAAAAACACACTAGTATTAGAAGATAGAACAAAAATACACACAGAGATTGACAAACACCAAAAGCATAGAGAGACAACAGGTAACAATACTGTTCAAAGAGAGGGATAATGTCTCTGTCCGTGTCACAGAGGCTGCCTGAGAAGCAGAGAGAGAGCACAGAAAATGCAGTATGTCATCCACTTCTGAAACACACATAAACCCCTTTCATCATACACACACACACACACACAGATCACACTCATGCTTGCAAAGTGATGCCTTCCACCCTTTTTATAATGGCCAACACCTCCATAAATCTATTGCACTTCCACCTCTGGGGCTGGTCACAGGCTTGACTAACGAGTAGAGCGCCTGAAACTAAATGAGGAGAATGATTAATATCATACAGGACCACAAAAAACACATAGAAAGTCCTCAAATGAGCTGCAAACAAACCACTGAATGCTCTGGGACACCCACAAAGCCTCCACCCCAACATGTTTTGTATCCATTACACAGCCTTGGGATGTGACAACCTCATCAATAAAACTATTATTAATGTCAAGGGCTTGGAGCTGGCTTTGAGCTTCAATCTCAACACCGACCATAAATAAAAATGTACAGAGGATCCCTAGCACGCCAACACAAAAGACCACATCAGATGCACGTCTGCTTTACAATCCTCTCTTTTGTTTTGACATTTAAAGCCGTTTGTAATATCTCATGTTCAAGCAGTAAGGAAAGTGTTAGAACGCTTGTTTTCGATTAGCATCCTTTATTCTTTCAGACAGCAGACAAATCTTGATTTTCCTTTTTAGTCGCTAACAGGATGATGATTTATCAAACAGAGTTACAAATATTGAGCTTTGTTGCACATCACAGAGGAACCACGAAGCTGCCGTAGGACTGAAAGACTGAAAAGTATTAGGAGCATAAATGCCACAGCTTTACAGTTTACTCTACAGACCATCGGCATCGAACTCAACACCGTGGGTGGCCTATTTCAACCATCAGCTCACTTGATTAAGAAAATACGATTTCAATTGATTTCCTCAAACCCTAATTTGCGAGAAGTCGGTATGAAAAAAGAATATCAATCTGAAATGAGTGTGTCATATAAAAGAAGTTAATAAAAGTAATGGATTTTCTTCGCTTTTTTTCTGGTGGTGGCTGTGGCAAGTTAGGAGGTTGGGAAGATTATCAGCAAGAGAAAGAGCAATCGAGGAAGAAAATAAGTGGGAGGGAGAGTGTCATCATCGAACAAGAGAGCTGTGCAGCAGTCCTGAAATCACATGCGGGTCCACGGAGTCATCAGAAATGCAACGATTCCAAACGCCAGAATATGATTTTCAATTGACACTGGATGGGACCAAGTGGGAATGAATGAGAGGATACATCAACTGCTAAACGAGATAATTACTGTCAGAGATTATAGAGGGATGGAGAGAGGAAGTAGAGAACCAGAGAGGGACTCATGGCTGAAATGACAGAAACAAAGAGAGCTGTGATTTGACTCTAAATCTGTACAGATAAAATGAATGTGGTCTTTGAAACATTTCTGCCTCATCACGATTCAAGTATTATTATCTTAGAAATTAAGTATCTAAGTGGTTGACTAAATCTGTGTTTGATTAATAACCCTTTTAGGTGGGCAAATTGTGTGTTCTGTAAATGCTGGTGAGGCAAAACTGACAGGTGACTGATTTAAAAAAAAAGTGTAATAAAAATCAAATCAACCTATCATATTTATTTACATAAACTCTTTTAATTCATCAGTTGCCTAATTGCTCAGCTCCAACGCCTTTCTGCAGGGATGTAGATGTGTACAGCAGGGTGTGTTTGTACACTGTGGCATCACTGGAGGGTGTGGTTACAGCCCACTTCGGACCACAACCATCAATGATTCTGGAAGTGTCTGGACGAGTGAAACTACATTTAATTAGACTTGATTGAGTTAAATACTACACTTATTGCTCTGTATTTAACATGCTATGCAATGGTTGCTAAACTTTGTTTGGCATTTCTGTTCTAAAATGTGTTCAGTGGTCGATGGCTCTATAAGGACGTATTAAAATTGGTGGTGTTGTACTGCACCACTAACCTCAATGCTTAAAAATATAATTAAATCAACAACTTAATGACAGCGTCAACAATTACTTTATAGGGATCATAAAAGTGGCCTTCACAGCAGAACAGTTATATTGCTTTGCATCAGGGGTGTGGGGTTAAAAATGCATAGTCTCTATGTTTGTGTAGGAGTATCATTTTGCAGAGGTTTTTTTGTATGAATACATGTGACATTACTTCTTGTATCAATTTGTATAAGATTGACAGTGGGGTTCTACATGTATCTCTGGTGTCTGTCCTGTTAAAACCCCCAACCTAAAAATGTTTTGAAAAAAGTACAGAAAAACCTATAAAGTTATTTTTTTGTTTAAACAGCAGAAGCTTTAAAACACAAATATTATCAGCATTATTAACTTGCTCATCTGAACTTCTAAAACTTCACCTCGGTTAATACTGTAATAAATAATAATGAGTGTGTGCTAGACTGCGTGTGGGCGGATGTGTATGCGTCCACCTCCAGGTATGCTAATGCTGTTATGACTGGCTGGCTTCATTACTGTCTGTCTACAACAAACTGGCCAAGGTCAGTGGGGGCTGCATAGATGATAGGGGGCCAAAACCATGAGCACAAATTAATCTGCTGTTTAATCTAATAATGCAGCGTGGCATCGGGTGTCTCAGTCCTATTAACACAACTGTAATTGCATTTGAGGAGGGATGAGCACACGTAGCCCACAAGGGTACGTTCAGACTTGCGAGTACCCCCAAGTACATCAAAAACAAATCGAATTGTAATACACATGGATGTGCACAACCCCTGCACACTTATACATAGGTGCACTCTAGATGGATGTTATGTTGGGGAAAGGAAAAATTCTGAAGAAAAGCAGGGTGCTGATGGATTAAATTCAAGCAATCACGGTGTGAGTGCATGTGTGTCCATGTTTATATGGCACGGAACATCTTTAAACCAGGGAGCCCTGCTCATTAGCATGGTAATATCCAAACAGCAGGGTGTAGCCAGAACAGCAGCGTATTATTAGGATTCATCTCATTAGGCTTTCATGAGATTTAAAAAGTTAACACGAAATAACTTCAAAACTAAGTCTGAGATTAAAAAATACCCTGCGATGTCGTACGTTTACTCTCCAAAAGTCATTTGCCCCCCTGGAGACAATGCATGGCCTGCAGCAACGTAGAGAGCTGGCCCACGGTAACAGGATTAAACACAAGTCTTTGTCACGCTGACATTTCTGTTGACATTTACTGATACGAGTAATTACTTCAAAAAAGTGAAATTGTTGACTGAAATTAACCCTCTTTCAACGGAGATAGGGGATCTAAAGTATCTTCATTTTGTATGCAAGTAAAGACATGAGTTGAGTTCTTGTAATAAGTAACAAGTAAGGGTCCAAGGAGCTATATGAGTGAGTGACACTAACCGCAGTGAGATGGATGACTCCCTGAGAGGTCACCGGGCATCCCATGAAGCCAACAAACTGCAGCTCAGGACAATGCTCAGCAACCGCTCGCACAGACCGATCAGTGACCTGACAATAGAAGGGAGAGAAGAGGGAGAGAAAAAGTTTAGCATCACGGGTAAAGAAAATATTAATATGCATAGTTAAAGTAGATGTATGGAAGAGGATTAGGGCCAAATGAAAAGACGTTTTGTTTTTGTTCTGGGAAAAAAGTCATAATTCTGAGATTAAAGTCATTTTTTTCACATGCCCAATACATTTTATTCATGTGGCCCTAATCCTCTTCCGTATAGATGCAACTATGATTTCACAAGTTTTTTTCTTCTAAAATACCGCATCAAATGCATATTACAGTTTGAAAATGTGTCATTCATTCACATTTCCACCATTAATATATGACATTTATGTTGAAAATAAATGACTTTTTCTTCCTTAGTAGGAAAGTTTAGAGAGAAGAAAGCTGAACTTGACAGTAACTTGCATGATATACATTTGACGGACAGAAGAAAAAAGGGGGATCACAGGAGGAGAGGAGAAGGAGGAGGATAACGGACAAAACAACCAAAAGAGCTCGTCTGCCGAGCAGCGTGGGCGTCAACCTATGATGGATGGACCATTCTCCATCCATCACCCAGCCGTCTACTAACAGCTCATAATGGATCAGAGATCAATAGGGAAGCAGAACATTTCCACCAGCTTTCACTGTAGTCATCAATATGGGTATTGATGACTCCCTCATCACACTCAGCACTGCAACAATATGTGGGAGATTGTTAGTCCTCTCTGAAACCTTCCTCAGTGTTTCCTCAACTCTTCAATTGTCAAAAAGACTTCGTAAGATAAGAGGAAGGAGACAAAAGAGATACAAATGACTAAAGGCTTTGATTAACCGGGAAACAAAGAAAAACAATCATCAAAGAACATTTAAAGGCATCCCTGGTTAAAAGATGGAATTATTTGAAAACTTTTCAAGTACAAATACCCAATGGTTTACTTAAAAACACGTCTACATGTAATATACAAATATTTAAGAATCCTAAAAAGTAAGTGAAGATTGACAGTGGGTGGAGCTTGTAAGCTGGTATAATGAACGCCCAAACAAAAACGTAGTTTCATTTGAAAGTCATCCTGCAATTCCAGAATTAAATAAAAAAGAGTCAATGGTTAAAAAACTCAAGTTTACAAAACTAAAATTACAGGAACAACACTGTATCATCCATCATACAGTACATGTATGACTGATATAATATTCCAGATAGTTATATGAAAAGTACACCAATGTTACAATGCGCTATGCTTTAGCCATTCCCTTTTTGAGCTTTATATTTGGGTTGGAGTATTTGTGTGTTTGTATTGAAAGTGAAAGGTCACTGCTGCTTCTGTTCAGCCACGGCCTGGCGTTCTCACAGGTCTGTTTGAAGCCCTACCTACAGTATTACAATTACACTACTATTTGTAAGCCGTGGTCCTAATTGAGCACTATACAGTTCTTATTTATATACCTAATGTTGCCTCTCCTTATCTATTTCTCCCTGTCTCACTGCCTTCCTCCCCCCCTTCTGTTGTACCTTAAAGGTTACTGAGTCGAAGCAGAGGAAGATGGAAAACCCAGAGAGACAGCGAGGGAAAAAGTCACAAAAAGAAAGAACAAGGTCTCCATTTATCTCTCACCAAGTCCCATACAGTATGGCTTATCTGGGTAAAACACCTCCTATAACTCTTGTGAAGTTCAAAGGTTGGTTTCTCACCTTATCAGAAAGAAGCCAAAGTGCTTGTAAATTGCAAAATGGTTCATAAAGTAATGACTATAAAGGATTTCCTTTCACAGGTGAGGCAGTGGAAATTTGTTTTCGAGCAGAAATGAGAATTGAGGAGGAACTGCAGGCATAGAGCCATCTACTGTATGACATTTTGTCTAAACATTTTACTATGTTCAGTCTTTCACTTCAGTACAGATGTAAATATTTTAACTATAAATAATGAGGTGATGAATTGAAGTAAACATTGTCAACAGACATTCATGGTCCCAAGAGGATTTATCTTATTGTCCTGACTTTTTATTTACGGCACCTTTAAATGATTTTTTATTACTTTTGTTACCCCCCTATTGAACAGGATCCTACCTCCTTCCAGTGTCTGTATTTTGAGCCTTTTAGAAAAACCCTACTGTGGGGGAAACTTCTGTGTAGCAATGCATTGGGAGTCACCGACTCAGGAAGGAGACACGGTGAGAGTTGGAGCTTTTGATGTCAAACACTGATGGGTTTATTCAGAGTATTCGGCCGGAGGATTCACATCACAAGTCAAAGAGTCAGAGGTTCTGACTACACGGTAGAGTTGCCAGGTCAATTCTGAAGAGCCTCTCTCTATGCTAGACCTTTTAACTGGTTCACAGAGAGTAATCAACATCTCTGAAGGAGTAGACTAAACAGCTGGGAACACTGAACCACCTGCGTCCGACACTCATGGCCTCAAAGATTTCACACCTTAGAGTCCACAAACACAGATAAAGAAGTGCCTCAGCGTTCTCACAACAATTACCATTCGTGCCAGACAAGTTGACCGGTCACAAACTGGTGACAACAACACATATGGCACCAAGGCCTTTCCTTAAAGGAGATAACAGACGTCAGAGTAGATCATAAAACGTCACAGAGCAAAAGGTTAGATATCTAGAAGAATTATTCCCTAACACCTACTACAAAAGTAAAAAAAAAAACGTATCAAAAAGAACATTTGACCCTGGAAAGCTGTGAGCACAAGTTGTAGTCTCAGTGTACTTGCTAGTTTTGAACAGAACAGTTTTTTAGAGCAATCAATAACTGGATGCGCCTTAATATTCTTAGCCTCAGGTTTGGACCCACACAGCTCCCTGCAGTCAGAAAAGATTAAGTGAAGGTGAGTCAGCGCTCCCACTCTGAGACACTGATACATATGGAACCTGATCTGCTGGGCCATGTGGAGAAAGGCGGAGGAGTAGAGCAGTGTTGTCTTTTTGAGTATCAAACTTAAAGAAAAGCCTCCAGAAGGACCAGTCTGAGCAGAGCAGCTGGCAGGTGAAGTGAGCTGGTCGGAGCTCCCACCTCTGCCAAAAGAACATCAAGGAAAACATTTTCAGGGTTGACTACCAGCAGAATCAAAAAGCCACACACCGCCATGATCCTTGAAACAGAACCGTCTGCAAGAGAAGCAAACCAATCACAGCAGAGGCCACCTCCGAACCGCCTGTGTTACTGGTGTTTGTGGTGTAAAAGTGTGCGGTTACAGTTGTGTGTGAGTGAGTGTGTGTTTATGAGCACATTTGAGTGTGAGAAGCATAACACACAAAAAGAAAGACAGCAGGTTACACATCTACTGTAACTTTCAGCAGGTGAGAGGGGAGACAGAGAAAAAAATGTCACTAGAGCAGAACAGACCAGGAGGGCATGTACCGTATCAGATTGTGTGAGTGTGAGTGTGAGTGTGAGTGTGAGTGTGAGTGTGAGAGTGTGTGTGTGTGTGTGTGTGTGTGTGTGTGTGTGTGTGTGTGTGTGTGTGTGTGTGTGTGTGTGTGTGTGTGTGTGCCTGTGCAACACCATATGGGTTTGAAACGAGATTTGTCTCCAACCCACAAAAACAAAAACTCCTCCCAAATTTCTCCTTGCTTCCCCCTCCTCCCCCTCAACCTTTCATGGACTTTGATTTAAAAACATGAAAAGAGCCATGGCAGGGCTTTTGGAGAAGAAGTGGCTAGCCAAGAGAGGCCTTAAAGCCTTTTAGAAGGGATCTGGTTTAATGGTCTCTGGGTGAAGGAGGTAAGGAAAGCAGGCAAAAAGTGGGCTGGAATGGTGGACACATTGCAGTGATAAAGATAGCCTTCATGTGTACGTGTCTTAAAGAGCTGGAAGGTAATTGTTCAGAGTGCTGGGGTAGCAAAAAGAAGTAATGCTGTATGTGAGTGTGTGGTTTTTGTCTGGCACTCAGTTCTTACAAAACGCTGGGGCAGCACCCAGGGGCCACTTCTCATCCAATAAGGGCATTTAAGCCTGTCAATATTGTCTATCATACGACTCGTTTGACTACATCAAATGCACAGGGAAAAGAGATGTAAACAGAGAAAGACCAAAGCAGATCGCCTTTAATCCCGTTCATCCTTTGTTCAATAGTTTGTTCTCCCCTTCAACCTAGCCTCGTTTAAAACTGGACAATTCTCACCAACAAAAACAACCGAGCAGGGTACATGGCTTAACAGCATCTCAAACACACAACTACTTTACAGTTGACATTACAATGAAGATAGCATGGACACCATCATTATGAAGTTCTCAGAGCAGGCACAAGCGTGTAAAATGATCTGATACAAGAGGGGTTGCTAATTAATGGCTATTTGTGAGACAAGTGGAACTAATAGGGATGGTTGTTGGACAACTGGGAGGGCCATGGCATTTAGAAGAAACCAATTATCGAGCCAGTTAGGCCAACCGTCCAGTTTAGCCTAAGCAGATAGCAAGGATATACAGTATAAGGCCTCATGAAGCAATATAGTCTTTGCTTTTTGCTTAGCTAAGGTAAGGGTAGGATTACAAAGTCACCTTAGGTTGAGCCTAATTTTTTTAAATGAAGAAACCTTAGAAAAAGAAGACAATAAAAGGATTTCATTGGTCCTTTTACCAATTTGAAATAAAAAAACATACGCTGCTATTTTACAGTCACAAAGATGTTTGAACTCAGGCTACTGAATATAATAATGTCTTCATTTGAGTTGTTGGTTACAGAATGATATTACAGATTTCCAATATTACCGATAAACAAGGTCTCAAACTGCAGGCCTGCGAGATGCAAATTGAAGTGGGACGATTTTCATCAAAGTTCTGTTCTTTCCAAGGTAATCATTTTCTCCATAAATACCCTCTTAGGGGTGATATTGCAGTGGGTTCATCACAACCTTGGAATACACACGCGCATAAACTTAGGTGCCCACTCATGAAGTCATGCACGCACACACACACACACCAAACTTTGTCTCTTTTTTTAAAGAGCTCAGATGAGCTGTATTGACGCTAAGGACTGGTGATCTGGCAAAAATCTAA